AAATCTGTCGAAGCTTTGTGTATAAGATGATGTGCGTCTGGAACACATTTGGCTGTCTGAAGACTTTATGAACATGGCGCCGATTTCATCTTAATCTTGATATAAGATATTCGGTCGGTCTCTTTGAATGCAGACATTGTAATATCGAGGGAATGACTATTAAGATGGTGAAATTGCTCTCACGAGGTCAGAGCGACCTTAACCAGGTCGACGTTACTCGAAAAATTAGCCCCTACACCATATTAATATGGGTATTTGATTAACAGCCATGTTCCAACACACTTGGTACCGGAATATTTACATTAGTGAAGAACACCCACCCTCATTCATTGGCGCGCGCAATCGTTCGTGACGTCACAGAGTATGTTCCCTGATGGTATAACAGGTCGAGATAGTATTCCCCATCAGGGGCCGACATGTTTCACGCGCTGCAAACACATCCTGGTTCTGTGTTGTCTTTGCGCTGCGTCTTTCTCTATTCTTTTCTCTATCGTGAATCTATTCTTAACAGTTACCCGTGATACAATGCTACTTTTCAACGCCCCTTATCTTTGCACTGCAGTCATTAATGTCATTGTCAATTTTGTAATATGAAATACAACATACGTGAAAGTTAATGCTACAAAATTCAACCGACCTAACGTCTTTGGTAACACTCGGAACGGGAACTTATCTCACGGAGCTAAAATCTTTGCACTGTTGGCTGTTCAAGAGCGTGTTGGTGCGGTGGGGTAGCCTAGTGGTGAAGGCGGTGGCTCCTCACGCCGAAAGCCCGGGTTCGATTCCCATTTCTGGTGTCCCCCGCCGTGATATTGCTGGAATATTGCTAAAAGCGGCGTAAAACAATACTCACTCACTCACTCAAGAGCGTTTGAATTTTAGATGAGCAAATGAGAAAACGACACCGATATGAATGCCTCCGTGATCTGACAAAAATGCCACATACCCACAAGATCTCAGAGACCCACAGTTCTTGGCTGGTCATTCCAAGATGATAATATCATATGGCGCGGGATGTTTTAAGTCCGACAGTTGCATCTACCCTCTAACTTAAACATGTTTCAAATCAGGACTGAAGAGTGAGTGAGTATTGTTTTACGCCGCTTTTAGCAATATTCCAGCAATTTTACGACGGGGGACGCTTGAAATGGTCTTCACACATAATACCCATGCGGGAAGTCGAACCCGGGTCTTCGGCGTGACGAGCGAAAGCTTTACCACTAGGCTACCCCACTGCCCCCAGGACAGAAGACGTCACTGCTGCAGACGCTCCGAGAAAACTCAGTGTCAAGTCCAGTGAATTATAATGTATTATGTATAGTGATGATTATGATAATGATATCAACACAACTGTAAATTATTATTTATTGTTTACTATCATCATGGTCATCATCATCATCATCATCATCATCGTCGTCGTCGTCGTCATCATCATCGTCTATCATCATAAAAGCCTATGTATGGTCAGTCTAGCCGATATCAAAATTCATTTTAAAAATTCAATATCTAATACGTGTGGAAATATAATATTTTTCAAATGTTTCTGGAAAATGATATTTTTTTAATTATCCCAATCCCATATAGTCTCCATTTCCAACAACCTTTCTCAGTCTATATACCAGAGTCCTCCAACTGAGTCTGATCTGATCAGGAAACAGGAAGCCTCACCCACGTATAATTTCACTCATATTCTCTCGTTTGCATATTTTATATATCTGTAGAGACCATATTGTCTGACATTTGAACTGACTCAGCTATGCATTAATATTGTACATGTTTGGTACACGTGCACTTGACATTAGCAAGCTAGACGTGTTTGCATAAACGTTACTTGGTTCAAGTTGGAGCCATTGGGATAACCTAGACTTTACTCTCCATTTATATGCCAAAATTTTGCGGTACATTGAAGTGACCGCATCTTATTCATGTCATATTCTCCAACCAAAGGGTATCTCGATATGTAATTTATATTATTGCAAAATTTTTCTTAACATAATTGTCATGGTTGCGTGTATCACGGTAACAAGTTCAATATTGCTTTTAATCCAAATACATACAACACTAGGATACCAAGCAAACATCGGGATTTTAATTCGTAAACGTATTCAACATTCTCCATTGACAAAATGTCGTATATTTCCAATCAAATCATTAATTTCACATGAACTGATAAAATTAATATCTTTTCACTTTATTAAAAACTAACAAGCCCCGTTATGCCTCGTTCGATATGAAGACCTGGAAACCAGATAACGGGGGATTAATCATCCCACACTCTGATTCTTGTCCCTGTCATGATGCAGGATGCTGTTGACGTCCGCTAATTAATCCGATAGACGTCCAAAATATCCCTCCCTTTCCACCCTCCGTGGTGAAATAGTGTTTACTAGCGTCATCCCACGTAAGTGAGTGAGTATGGTTTTACGGCGCTTTTAGCAATATTCCAGCAATATCACAGCGGTGGACACCAGAAATTGGCTTCACACATTATACCAATGCCGGGAATCGAACCCGGGTCTTCGGTGTGACGAGCGAACGCTTGTACCACTAGGCTACCCCACCGCCCTCATCTCATGTACGCTACAACTCTGCCTATATACAATGTCGGTGCAAAGCGCCATTACGAAATAAGAGTGAATATTATAAGAGAGTTTGGTTGAACGACGCCTTGAGCAGTATTCCAGTTATATCACGGCGTGTCAGTGGGAGGAAAGTGATACAGGTGTCAGACGTTTATAACTTTAGTGAAACCCACGAGAATGTTGGTGACAAGCCTAGAAACAACGGGGTGAAAGACCACGATCGTAGGTTTCTGGTGTGTCCAAGGGACGCAACTCTGCACAGCGAATTGAGGCGCCGCAGACAACTGGGCCATCTGTGCCCCCCAACGAAACATGAGGGACGCCGCTTTGAACAGTAGTTGGGTTAAATCACAGCGTGTCAGCTTCACGTGACGATAAAATGATGCAAGTCAAAGACATTTTAACACTTTGTCGAAACCCACAAGCACTGTACACCGAAATTCTAACCCGCTACTGGCAAATCCTGCACGGCCCAGAACAGTTTTTAATCCTCAATATCTTCTTGTTCTACCGGCTTGTAAATCCCAGTGAAATAGGTATGATCTATTGGATAAAGCTTCCCTTGTTCATACAAATTTGGGGGACACGGGTGGCCCAATCGTCTAAGGCGCCGCGATTCGCTGTGCAGAGTTGCGTCCCTTGGGCAAGCCAGAAACCTATGATTGTGGGTTCGAATCCCGGTTCGCCCCGATTATGTTTCTAGGTTTGTCAGCACCATACCCGTGCTCGTGGGTTCACCGAATAGGTAAACGTCTGAGTCCTGCATCACTTCGGGCTTTCCTCCCACATTAAGCTGACACGCTGTGATATAACTGGAATACTGTTAAAAGCGGCGTTAAACCAAACTCACCCACTCATACAAATTTGACACACGTCTCTCCTGGGCAGTTGTCATTCCCCATGAAAACTGATGCCTCCGCTAAAGCATCAGCCGCACCAATCTCACTAATGTTCAAACGTAGACAAAATGTGTCTCCCCCATAATGATATGTAGATGTTCCTGCATTGTATGTTGTGCATGTATATCTTCTACTTATATCTTAAAACTTTGTTTCTTTCAACTTGTATGTTTTATATCTTGTAGCTATATTTTAGCACTTTGTGGTCCTAACGGGTACTTGACTATGGAACTAGTGGCCGAACTTTGGCCAACAGTTGACTTGTCATTCATTTACACAGAACTTCTGCAAGATTACAGGTTAGAGGATGGTGGCTTGGTGGCACTCGTGTGCAGGGAACATGCAAGGATCGGTTTGCTACATAGATTTGTTTGTTTGTTGTTTAACGCCGCACTCAGCAATATTCCAGCTATATGACGGCGGTATGTAAATAATCGAGTCTGGACCAGACAATCCAGTGATTGACATCATGAGCATCGAACTACGCAATTGGGATACGATGACATGCATCAACCAAGTCAGCGACCCTGACCACCCGATCGTGTTAGTCGCCTCTTACGACAAGCATTGTCGCCTTTTACAGCAAGCATGGGTTGCTGAAGGCCGAGCAGTACCTGATCCCCATTTAAATAGAAAATACATGCAGTATCCATTTACCGTGTGACACTTTAATGAATATTCTTCTTCCTATCACACTGGCGCAAAGAACATTTAATAATGTTAGACATGTGATAAAGATGGTGTTCTATAGGCTTACACATATTGATATAGCCATACAAACATCAAACTACACCATTCTGCAATCAGATAAATGCGCGTATTCTCGGGATAGATGATCTAATCAATGGTATTTTGTCCACAACGCCCTACGCGAACCTCTCTCGTATATACCACCACGAGTCTATACGACAACGCCAGGCCGAGGGACTTGTCTACCAATATGCATTAATACTTCAAACACTATTTCGTTGTCACATTTAACCAGTGTATTAACCCTCGGGTCCGCACCACAAGCTAACCTTTCAAATCTGAAGACGCATTCACCTGTTTTCAATAGGTTTTAAAACCGAATACGTTACCTGTGAAAGAGCGGCCTAAATGAAACATCGCGGTTGTTCAGGTATAACTGAGTGCACACCTGCGTCTAAATAGCACAGGCTGAAAGACTTACTTTAATTACACCCGGTTTCACTAGCAGTAGAGCGGTAAGAAAACACTGTTTGATTTCGCCGTCGACATAATGCGTTGACCTCTTGCCATGTATTTATATAAGAAATGTTGATACGTTAAGACGGGTGTATTGACATTGTCTATTAGAACATACTTATACCAATTCATAGACTTGCATCTTCGGCAGGACGGTTGATTTTTGACATATATATTTTTATATATAACATGCATCGAGAAAATATCAGTAAATTACTTATACTACGCTAGTTCTGGTATATTCGGACGTTTGAGACAAATCGATTCTACTGCATGATCAAGTGTCACCTGCAAATTAAGCCATTAAACCCACCTTTGCTTTCTGCTGCGACTATCCATGCGAGGACAAGGCCGAAGACACAATATCCATTTAGATTCATCCTAAGAAGTATCCGAGTCCACTAAGTCCTCTAAACACGGTGTCGGATCGTATCAGAGAAGTCCACACTCGACGCCAGCGGAACGTTTACTGGGAGCGTGTATGCGACGATGTGTGCATGTACGGAACACCAGCCATAACATAATTCCTAATTACTCGCGCAGACAAACCTTTAACAAAAGACTGATCTGGTTAACTTAAACAATACGCCGTGTTGACACAATTCAAATGTAATAAAAACTAGCGTCTACTGTTATACAAAAGAAACACGCAGACCCAATTAGGCCCTGAGTGGACGGTTTACATAGTGGCGCCGACAGGTTTCCGTAGATTGATGTATCGAATGAATCAATAGTGTAGAGCAATGGAATCGTTGGGCTAGCTGTGTGTGGGAAAGAGGGAAGTGCATGCATCTTGTTCCCTGACTCATAAGCCTCATCCATACCACCATGCAATAACCATGCCGTGCTGTAATTATTCAAGCAATTATTCATGAATGCGGTGCGAAACACAAATGGGAATCGTGCGTCATTACGGTGTTGATAGCACATAACTGCACAGAAAACAATGGATTTATTTGGTTAAAAGATCATAGCAGGTGCGCCTCTAGACAATCAATAGGAGACGGTGAGGAAAATACAGGTAGACAGTTGAGGTAGACCCGTGCTTTTGTTGTGGTCTTTCCTTGTGCTGCAACTGAGTGATTGGATACACGGTTGGGCAAACAGTGTTAGGAGTAGGTGTTCCCGTTCCCACAAGCCTGTTGAATAGCTGTTGAATCATCGGGAAGGAATCATATGCAAAATGAAGAGAGCGAGAATAAGAGTCGAATTAATCAGTGCGTAAAGTGAATTATAGCAACGAGCGTTTCGACAAGACGTCCAAATGTTGCCGAGGCATCAATCAATCAATTATTTAATCAATCAATAAATCAATAAATCAATCAATCAATCAATCCTTTGACTTCCTGTGGTGTGATCAGATTCACGGAAAGATTGTATTTCTCCAATAATGTCACGAGGTATTGTATTTTATTATGAATCACGGACGGCTATGATTCTGCCTATGGTGTGACCTGGTACTTTATTGAATCATGACCAGCTATGATTCTGTCCATGGTGTGACCTGCTACTATATTGAATCACGGACAGCTGTGATTCTACCTATGGTGTGACCTGGTACTATATTGAATCACGGACGGCTATGATTCTGTTCATGTGGTGACCTGGTACTATATTGAATCACGGACAGCTGTGATTCTACCTATGGTGTGACCTGGTACTATATTGAATCACGGACAGCTATGATTCTGTCTATGGTGTGACCTGTACCGTATTGAATCACGGACAACTATGATTCTGCCTATAGTTTGATCTGGTACTTTATTGAATCACGGACAGCTATGATTCTGTCCATGATGTGACCCAGTGCTATATTGAATCACGGACGGCTATGATTCTGTCAATAGTGTGACCTGGTACTATATTGAATCACGGACAGCTATCATTCTGCCCATGGTGTGATCTGGTACTTTATTGAATCACGGACGGCTATGATTCTGCCTATGGTGTGATCTGGTACCGTATTGAATCACGGACATCTATGATTCTGCCTATGTTGTGACCTGGTGCCGTATCTGTACCGAATCTCTATGATTCGTTCGATACTGTTTAAAGGGCTTTAGCTCAAGATAGAGACACTTGACGACTACGGGTATGATCCAGGATCATAATCAGTACGAATGTGGGATACGATCAGCAGATCCTGGGAACTAGTTAAACTGCAGTGACGAGCCCAAGGGAGATAACTCTTATTTATCTTCATACCTTGCCAGGTCTTCGGTTATCTGTTTCAGTTAAATCCCTGACTGTATACGGTATACTGTGTATACAATTGTGTATACGTTGGTACAGTATTGAGGGCCTCTTTCACCAGTCTGGCATATACGAGTATGTCATCATAAAATTACTTATTTTGATTATTGATTGAGCGACGTAAGTTTCGTGAAACGAATGGCGTGTGCCAAGAAGTGGGTCGAACAGCCTGAGATACAAGGCGTTCAGTCCTGCCAGGGTCCGCTGGTCCAGGTTCGAATCCAACTTGTTCTCGGATTCGCACATATTACGAGGACTGGTCAAAAAAAGGTGTAAGCCTGACTAACTATGAGCCATAACAAAGTGAACTAGTCATTGCTGTATATTGTTTGAGTAGTTCATTGCAAGTGTATTTTGCCTGTTGAGACCGTTTGTATACTAGTATTAGTGACAACAAGCTGAACGTGATGTGGGTCCAAATGGACGCAGAAATGAAAAAGAACGAGTACCGAACAGTCAACAAGGTTTTGACTTTACAGAAAAGTACTTCCCAAGAAGTTCATGACCGCATGTCACAGGTGTATGGGCATAAGTGCCCTAGCTATTCCACTGTTAAACGTTTGGCAGCTAGCTTTAAGGCTGGGAGAACAAGCCTTGATGATGACCTTGGTCAAGACGTCCCTCAACCTCCATCAATGAAGATTTAATTAAGGTGAGGTGAGGTGAAATTGGGTTTAACGTCGCGTCCAAGATTATTGCACTTATATAGCGACGTGCATGTACGTGTGTGTGTTTGTGTGGCTGCTTGTACTAGTCCGGACTGATGCCGATTTATAGTGCTAGCTCACTGAGATACCATGCCGCAGTTTAACATGAATACCACACTCAGACACAGTATACTGACTCCGAGCCGACCAGTCCTTGCTTTAGCCCCTTAATGCCGAGCGCCAGACAGGGTAACAACAAGTACCATCTTTTAACGTCTTTTGGTATGACGCGGCCGGGGATCGAACCCCGGACCTTCCGCTCTCCGGGCGGACGCTCTACCACAAGACCACGGAGGGGGTCATTTAATTAAGGAGATATAAAGTCTTATGTTGTCAGATAGACGTATTACCATTGCTGAGGAAGAACAAGGTCTGAGGCAAGGATCCGTTGAAAGCATTATTCATAAACATTGCTGACATTGCCAGAGACAACTGAGGGCTAATTGAGGATGATTTCGTCAAATTCAAAAAGAGATTAGTAAGGGGTGTTGAAACATGGGCCTACCACTATGATCCCGAGTCAAAACGTCGATCCATGGAATGGCACCATTCCTCTTCTCCGGCACCAAAGAAATTTAAGTCTTCAAGATCAGTGAAGAAAGCTATGGCCAATGTATTCTGGGATTCAAAGGGTGTGATCTTTGTTGATTACTTAGAAAGTCAAAAGACGATTACCGGTGCCTACTATGCTGATTTGCTTCATCGCCTGAGAGATTTAATCAAAGAAAAGCAGCTAGGAATGCCGACTGCTGGAGTTCTATTTTTTCATGACAATGCCTCTTCACGCTTCTCGACTTGCAAAAACTGCTTTGCAACAATGTGGGTTCGAAGAGCTTCCTCATTCTCCATACTCGCCAGACCTGGCACAGAGTGACTTCAGCCTGTTTCCTTAACTGAAAGAACACCTTCGGGGAAAGCGCAAAGAGGACAACGATGACATCAAAGCTGCCGTAAATGGTTTTTTTTAGGGTGGCGTCGCAAAATTTCTCCCTGACTTGAATTGAAAAGCTTCAGTATCGTTATGAGAAGTGCATTGCAAAGATTATGTTGAAAAATAAAATCAAAAACACTTTCACAATTGTTGGTTTTGTTTGTTAGGCTAAGCACTATTTTATCAGGCCTCGTATTTTATTAGTCTTGGTCCGCCAGCACCGTGTCTTTCAGCAAAGAAGGTCTATCTTTGGACATTGCCCCACATCAAGCCGGCATCTGACGCGGTACAACTGAAATTTCGTTGAAAACACTTAAGCTTTAACACAAGGATACTTCAATGAAGCTTTGGCAACAGACGCATTAAATAGCGTTCGGGGTCTGACAGTAGATTCACCAATGTTCGGGAGAGAGAGTAGATACATTCATCATATCGGACTGAAGCGGAAACATACGATTGGATCTGACTGAAAGGCTTCCGGTGTCTCTTTCGTATCGGATGTCGTAACAGACACCTCAGCATGACGCCAGCGAAGTCGTCACTAGATCTCGGATTTGCGCTTCATGGTCACGCCAAGAGAAGTAAGAGTCTTAGTTCCTATTGTATGGGGGTCTAACGTTTTCTTTGCGGAAACAGCTTGAAGAGACACGTCTAGAGAAAATTGTTCCTGGGCGAGCATCGGTAAAATAATAGATAGCTCTACGAACAGCGGCATAGATGAACGAGGACCAGAGCCGGAAGCCATTCTTGCGATGGTTTGTTTGTTTGTTTGTTGTTTAACGCCGCACTCAGCAATATTCCAGTTATATGACGGCGGTCTGTAAATAATCCAGTCTGGACAAGACAATCCAGTTATTGACATCATGAGCATCGATCCACGCAATTGGGATACGATGACATGCATCAACCAAGTCAGTGATCTTGACCTCCCGATCCCTTTAGTCGCCTCTTACGACAAGCAACGTAGCTTTTTACGGCAAGCATGAGTTGCTGAAGACCTATTCTATCCCGGGTGAAGCAAAACCGAAACAAAATGTTTAATAAAATCAGTGAAATGTGGTGCCTTCTTTTGCGAACACCTGGTGTCATCACAGATCTTCTGTGATCCATGTATATAATTTCACCTCTATTTCGCCTTTTACGCCCAATTTGAATCTGTATCGGCAGATATCGATATAGTACATATTATAGTTGATCTTCCTTCCGTATTCGTGACCAATCGTGCCCATCCGGGTCAATAAATGGCGGTAAAGAACGAGTTACGTGATCACCATACTGTTCCTAAGGGAGACAACTGTTGGGTCGTGTGTGGTTACTCCTTGAGATATTCCATGGCCTTGGGGTTCGGGCAACGTTGTGCACATGACAAAATGACAATTGTCAAGGTTAGATTCAATGTCTCGCGTGTCAAGTCTTAACTGGTATCTCCTGCCCAAGGACGAAATGCGACTTTAGATCATATGTGGGAATGTGGGTCAGAGTGAAGCTGTCATGCGCAGTGTAATAACTCGATACAGGTCTTCTATCGGGTTCACGTCTGGCTATTGAGAGTCAATAAGTATTGTTTTACGTCGCTTTTCAATATTCCAGCAATATCAATGTGGGAAACACCAGACGGGCTTCGCACATTGCTCCAATGATTGGAATCGAACCCGAATCTTCGGAGTGACAAGCGAACGCTTTAACCACGAGGCTATCCATCGCCCCTGGCTAGAGAACCACGAAAGAACCTGTACTTTGC